GTTACGTATGTATCAGCCAGCCGGCTGGCAACATATGAAGAGTATCACTTGCAAAAAGTATCTGCTGCTCACACTGATCGTCAACACTCGTCACGCACCTACTACGAGCATCATACACACTTGCACTGACCACTAATAAAAAAATAAATAAATAAAAAATATAGACCGGCAAAACTGGCGGCGGATGCGATGATTTTCTCCACTATTTTTCCATAAGCTCTTTCTTATGTTTTTCTGTATTATTTTTATTTTTATTTTTTTTTCTTTAAAGATATTTTTACGCATTTAATCTTCTGTGCTATTGTTCTGCACTTTTTGTTATTTTGCTATTGTTGTTGTGGTTTCTGTGATAGCACTTATAAGAATTGTATACGCTTATTAGTGCTGTTTTTGTCGCGGTAATTGCAGCTTATTATTATTATACATTTAGTTTATATGAGCTCCACACTTGGCTACTTACGCACTGCGATCTCGCTATTGTCGCAAACACTTGTACATACATACATATGTACATACAGTACATCAAAAGTTGACGACAAGACGCCTTGACAGTCGAAGTCTGTCTACAGACTTTACTAGCAGTTAGTCATAATTTGTTGATTATGCAGCCCTTATTACTTTATACTTGCTTGTTTTGTTATTGTTGCACTTTTATTCATTTAAATGAAATTGTGATTAACGTTGCGGTTGTTGCATGGCAATTGCAGTCGTATTGAATGCATATCTCTCATACACATTCATACATATGTACATACATATACATATACGCCCACACTCACTTCACTATAATCACTCCGGCGGCGGCTTCAATACACCCCCACTCCACTTCACTTTCCTTCGCGCAACTTCACTTCAACTTCAGCACCGTCGCGTCAACTTTCGTGCAAGTTTTCCCCCAACACGGACTTCAAAACACGGCTTCACGTCTTTACGGCTTTACTGCTTGCATCCGTCTTCGCCAGCAATCGAACTGTAAATGACCAAGTCTCGTTGGCCCTAAGCTCAGCTCATTGCCATTGCTCTCCTCCAATAGCCTACTGTCTGAACTTTAGTCAATTCTGGAGTTTGTTTCATTCCACCTTGTTCGCTGCATAGTTGTTTTTATAGTTCGGCTCCAAAGCTAGTTGTGACCATCAGTGTTGCCAGAAGTTTTTCAGAGAAAAGGTTAGCACCCTTCTTATCTATCTCGTACGATAGGCCGCACGAATGATACGTCACCGTTTCTCTTTGCAATTTCGTAACTCGATCGTTCGTCTTTGTCTTACTTTACTTACAGACGATTGCCGATTGTTTTGATTTATACTAAGGGTATTCATCAAACCTTATAAATGCATTGTAAACCGTATAAACTTATAATTGTGTAAACCTTATAAATGAACTGTCAAAACTTTTATGGAAACTCGTTTACACATTTCTGATAAATTTATCCAGCGATTTCACTGAATAAACTTG